ATGTCAACAATCCAGAATTCTCCAGCAGTAACCACCAGGGTTGTCTCCTCCTGGATTCTCTTGTGTTGCTATAGGACCCTTTCCAGACAAGTACTGTTTTCAACAATTGCTCATCTGTTTGAACTTTAGAGACATAAGAGTAATAAAGAAATAACTGAAACAATACTCACAACCATCATGGACCCCCTAGGCTTTTCCAAAGAATCTTAATTAAACAGTGCACACGAACCACCCCTGATAATTCTTCCATGGAGCGATAATGTTAAATTCCTTGGAAGCTAATTTCCTTTTCGAGACTCAGAAAACTGAGGCTTTAAAGTCAGTAGGTGTTGTTTGCTGCCTTATCTCTCTGCCTGACTTGTACTTTTGTGTAGGCTGCTGAGGACATTTCAGCTTGCAGGGAAGCTGCTGTTGTAATTAAAATATTTCAAACACTTTGTTCCTTAGTTGGAAGACCCACTCAAATAGTTGCCCTAAACATTAGGGCAGAAGCACCATTCATAGTGTTCTATGTTCTACCAAACCAACTCTGTGAACTGTGAAATATTCATGCTTTCCCTTCCTAGAAGGCTCTTCCTCCAACCACTTCCCTATGTCCAAAGCTACTGAATTTTTGAGATCAGAAATCCTCCATGAAGCTTTCCAAAATTCCCTTCATCTAGAAGTAACATACACTTCCAAACTCCATAATGTGTTAGCTGTCTTTCTGGATTGCTTACCACCTTTTATTTGGTATTGCAATTTTTTAGACAGAGGCTTCCTTCTTCAGACTTTAAAATCCTTGCTTTAAAGCAAGCAGAGTCTGTGTTTAATTCAAGGCCTGCACAGTGCCCTGCATGAAGAACATACTCAATTGATAGTTGTTAGATTCACTAAGCCACCGCCACATGACGTTGGAGAGAGAAAAAGAGAGAGAGAGAATAGATCATACAAGGGATTCGGACTAAGCTTCCAATAAAAGTTTGTTGAAAGACAGGCCTAGGTCAAATTTAAGCATATTTACTTGTAAATTGTGTGACCATGGGCCGCAGTTTCTTCATATGTAAAATCTATCACCATATCTATCTCATATAATTGTTTTAGGAATATAATGAAACCTAAACATGTCAAGATTGTATAACAGGGTTAGGCACATAGCAGATGCTCAATAGTGCTCTCTTTCCTTGCGTTCATGGCTCCATTCCCTCTATTTATTGAATAATCAATGTCTGGTTGCCCTTCCTGGCTGGTCATTCTCATAGGACAAGAAAGAATATCTCATGTGCATCCTATGTGTCCCCCAAACAGAGGAAGTTGGTTTTGTTCCAGTTTGGCCCTGGACCTACGAATGCATAGCTTGAATGAGTACAACGACTCTGCTGGTCCAAAATTGGTCTCAGTCATCCTGGAGTCTTTAGCTAGTCTCTGAAATCTAAATTTAGGTTCTTTTCTTTCTCGTACTGAGGGAATTCTGTGTTGTCTAGCCTTCACCACTCTCCCAGAATCACCTCAACTTTATTTAGAGGGAAATGGTAGGGGGCTTATAGATTTGGTGTTCTGGGATCATTCAGAATTGAGGATGAACTTTCCCAATATTAGTGCCTACATTTAAGGTAGATATAGAACGACTACAGGATTCTGAAGGCAATTACAGTTCATATCCTTTAGCTGAATAGATGTTAAGTCTCAATGGAAAGGAAGTCCTTTGTGGAACCAATATGCCATCTTCTTTGTCCTCCCAATCTAATCATGTTGTCTCCTACCCCATGGCAGCCCACACACCCCAAGGCAAGATACATGTGCCCTACAGTTACTAATGTTTGTGTCCTTTGTTGCAATGCACTACAGATTAAATACATTTTTATTTATTTCACTTTGCTAGTTGTGGTGCTTAAAATTCCACCATCAGAAATTTATTTCTGCTCAGCTTTGGTGAAACAAAAAGGGGCCTTTCCTATAGTTAAGGGCTGCAGGCAAATTTAAGCCCTCTGGCTTCTCTCAGACATAGGTAGAAGTTAATTTATTCATTTCTTCACTTGACAAAAATTTATTGAGCTTTCAGTATGTGCTGGGTACCACTGCAGGCACTGAATATTGGGCCATGAACAAAACATACTATGAACCTGCCATCAAGGAGCTTACATTTGGTGGGGGCAGAGAGACCATATGTGACCATGGTGCTAGATGCCACGGAAGAACATAAAGGCAAGCCAAGTGGGATAAGGAAAGATGGGGGGAAGAGGAGCGTGAGAGAGGGGATTATTACTTTCCATAGGGGTTGTCAGAGAAAGTTTATTAATTATTAAAAGAAACGAAAGGTCAATAAACAAAAACAAACAAACAAAAAAATACATTCAGGAAAAACTAAAACCAAAAAACCAAACCTGTTGCTGTCAAGTTGATTCTGACTCACAGTAACCCTACAGAACAGAGTAGAACCACCCCCTAGGGTTTCCAAGGAGCAACTGGTAGATTTGAACTGCGATCTTTTCATTAGCAGTCGTTAACTCTTAACCACTGTGTCACCAGGGCTCCATTAAAAGAAAAGAAACATCAATAAACAAAAACAAAGAAACCATTAAGGAAAAGCTAAAGCCTTTTTTAAAAGCTCGTTCCTCAGGGTCAAAGGTATCTGAAATGTAAAGAATTAAATAAACTTTGGCAGAGTTTGGAAGAAAGGCCTGGAGAGCTGCTTCAGAAAGGTCACAGCCTTGAAACCCCTATGGAGTATAGTTCTACTCTGCAACACAAGGGGTTTGGCAACTGGTTTGAGTTTTTTGGTTTATGGCAGAGTTACTCTCAGTCTTACTTTAAATATTTTATCTTTGGCTAACATCCACCTTAGATAAATCAAAAGATAGTCAGCTCAGATTCTCAGGAAATGCAGAGGAGACAGGAAATGTGGTATAAAAGGAAATTAGCCAAGGCATGGCTGGACTGACCAGAGGTGCCAGAGAGAGTTAAACAACAACGAAAACAAAAAACTAAACCCATTGCTGTGGAGTCAATTCCCACTCATGATGATTCCATGTGTTACAAGAGTAGAACTGCTCCACGGGGTTTTTCTTGGCTGTAGTCTTTACAGAAGCAGATCGCCAAGCCTTTCTTCTGCAACACCGCTGAGTGGGTTTGAACTGCCAACCTTTAGGTTAGTAGCCTAGAGCAAACTATTTGAGCCACCCAGGACCCCAGAGACTTAAAAGTTTAATAAATCTCACTTTGTATTAATAACCAAAATGTTTAATTGGAGTTTAAATACCAGCTCTGTCACTTACTTGTCTGTTGGAATTTTAGTGTTACTTAACTGCTTAATTTCCTCAGCTGTAAAATGGCAATTAAAATATCTACTCACAAGTTTTTTGAAAATGTAAATTACTTAACGAATGACATAGCCCAATTCTTGACTCAAAAAAAAGTTAGCTATTATCATTAAACATCATTTTATTTACCTTTTGAGTATGTAAATGCAGACTGCCTAATCCTTTAAGATGCTTCTACACAAATTGCCAACAGTGCAGTCTCCCACAGTCTTTGTTGCTTTAAATCTGTGGTCTGATCTGATAGCATTTATTTTTTCCCTAATGGGGAACAAAATGGCAAGTAACTTGCCATTGCCCAAGTTACTTCCTAGCAAACAGGTAAACACTACAAGAAGAAAACTGATTCCCCAATTTAATTGCTCAATTTCTTTCCTCTTATTATTATTCTTTTATAATAAACCTACAGTACTTTTATAATGAAAAATTTAAAAAAAACTAAAAAAAGTTACAGTGTCACTTCGATCACCTTTCTATCTAGGGGAGAAAATGATACATTATGTTCTCTCATTTTCACAACTGGCTTGCCATCTTCTTCCACTGTCACCTCCCCTATCAATCACTAACACAGTTTTTTAACCCCTTTTATTTCAGGGTCTACTTTTCTGGAAAAAGTGTCCACCGTGCGGCGCCAGAACGGGGTGGGGGGTGGCGGGTGAAGGGGAGAGAGCCAGGCGGGGCTTCTGTGGGCCTGGCCAAAGTCCCCTTCCTTCTCCTCCCTGGGCAGCGGCGTAGCGGGGTGGGGGTGGGGCAGAGGGGGGCAACTCTAAGGTGGCGCCGGAGGAGGTGCGGATTCCGAGGTGCCACAAATATGCAAGGTGCTTGACTGAGGCAGCCGGACAACAGGGGGGAAGGCGTTTCTGCAGACACGTCACCACTATCATCATTTACTCATCTTGAAATTTGGGAGGGGGCGCAATTTAGAGATTGCCCCTGGGCGCTCGAACTGGGCGGGGGTGGCAGTTTAGAGATTGCTCCTCGGAGCTCGTTACCCTCCCTACAGCTGTCTGCAGGGTGGTGTGGCTGTTCCCCCGGCCCAAAGCCTCCTAGCCAATTTGTTCACTTCCTAGACCAAACACTCTCCCCGGTACACTGGGTGGAGCGCCCTGAAGTACCTGGGCGAGGCAGCGCAATCCCAATTTACAGGCTTGAGGAGCGCCAGGTCTTATATTCTTGTAGGTCTTCTTTTTTCAAGTATTTATGGGGGTCATGAACTCTTTAACAGTCTAATAAAAGCGAATGGCACCTTCCTTCAGGAAAATGATAATTCTGAATAGAACTACAAAGTGTTTATAGAGGCCTTGAGTCTCCAGATTAAGTCCCCGCCTGCCAGACAGGGGTGGGAGCGGTTGGGTGAGGGCTGGCTGAATAAGGGGTGAAAATCTTGGACTGAATTCTTTGACGTAGATATATGTGCATTTAACATACACAGATACAGATATGACAAAGCTGAGTAAGAGGATATGGAGAAAATAGTGCTTTCTCCAGCTAAGCCGGTCTGAGTGCAGAGTCGCAATGGGTCATATAAAAGAACCGTGAGCAACAGGTGGGCCGAACTCCAGGTTCCGCACCCTCAGGAAGCAGCGAGTCCAAGCCACAGGGCGAGGGGGGTGAGTGAGGGACCCGGGAAGGGGTGAGGTAGAGACCGGGGAAAGGTTGAGGGGCAGGGTCGCGGCGGCACAGGGGCACCGGGGCTCCACTCACCGTTGCCCACGAAGCTCCGGCCCTTCCGGGCCAGGGTCTGCTGCACCTGCTTCTGGATCCGCAGGTTCTTGGCCACTTGGCCGCTGCAGCTGCTGCTCCCCGCCAGCTTCAGGTTGGCCTCGGAGGGCAGAGCCAGGGTGGAGCTGTCCACTTGCCCCAGGATTTGCTGGCCGAGGACGGTGCGGATGTAGCCGCACTCAGCCGAAGAGCCGGGGACTGCCATGGGGCCTGAGTGGCAACCAAGCCGCTTGCCAGCCGCAGGACCCGAGAGTGAAGCGGCTGGGGAGGCGGGGGCGCAGGCGTGAGCCCCGCCCCACCGCCTGAGCCCCGGCCCGGCCCCGCCCCCGGTCTGTCCTCCGCGCCGGTGAGAGGTCCGGGCCTGGGGAGTGCGGCCTCGAGAGCTCGCGCCCAATCTCTCCTGGGGCAGGGGGCGCGGCTCCGGCCAGGCACGCGCACTCGGGCCCGGGAGCGGGTACGGGGTCACCCGGCGAGTTGGGCCTTCCCTCACCGAGGCGATGAGAGGGCCCGAACCTTCTGGGGTCGCGCACACCCTCGGAGTCACCTCGAGGCCTGTCTGCCAGGGCCGCGCTCCGCCCGCTATCGTTGTATTGCGCGGCCTCGCCCAGCGCTCGGAAAAGAGGTGATTTCCGTTTGATTGCAGGAGGAGGTGCCCTCCAGGCAGGTGCGCCCTGGAGCGTCACCTGTGTTCTTGGGCCGAGGCTTGCCTCGAAGATCCCCGAGTGAGTGGTTTATCTGGTTAGTCAGGCTCTGTCAGACTGTGTTAGAAAAGTTGCGTGATTTTCCTGCACCCGAGGGTGAGAAAGGACTATGTGGTTAGGATAGTATTAGAGAAAGGACAGCATGAAGGAAAAATTGCCAAGAAGATGACGTGTGTGAAATAAAAGACTTTTCAAAAAAGTTTTTTCCCCCTTAATACAACTTAGGGACTGTACTTTTTGCACAGATGCTGTCCCAGAAACATATGTTCTTCCTCATTGAGAGCTTCTGTTTTCTCTTGCAAATACACAAACTGTACCCAGTGCGCTCTCGCTCACCCACTCGGCTTTTACGAACACTACCCACACAGAAAATGCAATGAGAGGCGCAAGGGAAGAACTGCCTTTTACTAGGTGAAACTTTTTAATAATAGCCCTGCTAACTAACGTTGATTGAGTCCTCTTTTTGACGGGCTGTTTGTAGGGGGTCCGTGGAAGGGGCCTCTGACTTTCAATCGTCTCTTCCACAACTTATATTTATCATGCCATTAATTATGTTTTACACGCAGTTGACTCTTGAGAACTTGAGAGCTAAGCTCAACAGAATGGGTCCTTGACCTGAAAGTCTACAATCTAAGCCACTCATCCTGATTTTCCTCTTTGGACTTCAGAGGCAGAAAGAAGAACATCTTTCCCCAGTATTAAGATAATCTTCCCTTTGATTGCTTGGTTTTGTATGTTTACTTTCCCTCAAATCACTCAATTGCTGCAAAACTCCACTTACTCTGGTCTGGAGTGGGTGTAGAGCACAGTTTCTCCCTTACCTATTTTTCTATCCATACCCTCTACCCTTAAAGCGCTTAATGCATAGGTATATGGCCTCCCTTCTTACATGAACTAGGGAGTGTAGAAGAAATCAAGGAGACAGAAGCCTGGACAATCAATCACATTGCTAAAGCCATGTGGAATATACTGCTTGAGTGGGAACCAGGTGGATGGCAGGTCTTGGATGCAACTCCCTCATCCCTCGAGGAGCAGTCTTTAGGTAAATTACATCTTGTGTAAAGCTCAAGTATGTAGCCAGATGTCAACATTCAACACTGATGCTTCCATTTTGTTGAAAAGAGAGGGGTAGGGTGAAGGGAAAGTGCTTATAGAGACTTCTAACAACAAACTCCATTCCTGTTCTTCTTTTCCCCCTCATCATCCCCAAGCCTCTTCAGGCAGCCCAGGAGTCTGCTGCTTTGGAAGCCAATTTCAATGTTCAATGAATTTTTCAGTGCTCTTTAACAAATGTGCCCCAGAGATACACTTTTGGACTCCTTCACCTGCTTCCAGTCTCTGATCATATGTCAACTTATCATTTAAATGGAACGTTTCACACACACATGCACGCACGGACACACACAGTCACTCACTGTCTTCCTTCTCTGCTTAATTTTTCTTCATGGTCCTTTTCATCATCACACATACTTTATGTTTTACATGCGTAGTAGTTGATTGTTTCTCTCCAAGAGAGCAGAGATTTTTGTTTTGTTCACTGCTAGTCTCCAGGACCTAGAATAGTGCAAACAGTAGACAATAGATATATGTTGAATGAATTGTGCATAAAAGCACTCAGTACATGAGTGTTCAACAACTGTTGGTACTATTTAACTTTTCAAACTCTTTTGGTAACCTTATATCATCTTTTTGAAAGTCACATGGATATCATGTATTGTAGATATTCTAATGAGCACTGCAATATTCCTTGTAAATAAAAAAAGAAAAAAACTAAACCAAAATAAGATTTTTAAATATTCAAATACCTGCAGAATTCAGTGATTCAGTAGAACAATCCCTTTGAAAATAAGATAAACATATCATTAAAAGGATCCCTTTGGGGTGGGAATCCTATTGCAATAGCAACAGTTAATTACCGAGTGAAGAAGTATTCAGACTCTGGCATTGTGCCCCATAAAGTTGTCTAGATACGCTTCTGTTCCAGCAGAGTGCGAGACCTATCATGTCCTCCATGTTTCCTGGGAAAGCTGCCTAGCCAACTTCCCAAATTGTAAGCAAGCACTGAGATAACTGTTAAAGGTAGCCTTCTAGCCAACAGATTGAAGCATGGAAATAAAATGCTTTGAATACTTTTGCGGTGTTTGGCTGCTCTACCGTCTGCTACTTTTTAATATTAGGTTCAGTTTTGAAAATTTTTCCATTTTCTTTTGCTTTTCACTTACCAACAAAATCCGACTTTTTTAAAAAAAAGTGAAACCACAGGAATGTTGAAGTAGAATGTAAATAACAGATAACTGAATTATGAGGCTACAATTCCTTTTGCTGTGAATCTACAATGAGAATTCAGAAATTCTTGAGCTTTAAACATGTGTTTTTATTTGATTTACACACTATAGCCTTGAAGCACTATTTTTTTTTAAATGTTTTCAAATCTACAGTCAGAGCTTCCTCAGAGTAGTCATTATTTTCTTCAACCATATATAAATTCCAATATTCAAAAAATTCAGGAAGTTACTAGAAGACTGAATGTAAGTTTAGAGCAGAATCATATTTTAATGGAGAACATTAATGGCACCAAAACACTCTGATTCATATTTAAAAAAAATAACTTTAACACAGTTTCATAAGTGTCTTCTCTCATGAAATATTTTCCTGCTACTATTTCTAGGCTATTAATATCTATTGCTTTAGAAATATTTTCTAAATTAGTGTAAGAGACCTAGCAGATATAAAATTTAAAAGAAACTTCAGAATCTATTTCCTCTTTTAGCAAACGGGTATGTTGCCAAGGCAATTAGTAGGAGTTTTTTCATTAGCCACATCTAATGAAACTGGATATGGGCTGGAAAAGGAAGTATGAACATGTAGGTGCTGAAACCACTCTGACAGGGATTTTCAACAGCAGTGATGGGGAAGGTGCTTTTCTTTAAGTCAGATGCTCATTTTGTCTGCTATTTTGGATGCATTGCAAGTCTTTAGGTCTGAAACCTCTGCTTCTTAAAAGACCCCAAATGTGATGTGGGAGGTGGAAACCAGGTGGGCCGGCAATGAGCAATAGTCACAGAGGCTATCAAGATAGTACCTCTAATCACGACTCATGGGCACATATGAACACGATACATCAGATAAAATAATTGTCTTCTGGATGGATCACTGCGGTTGCTACATTAATAATTGTAAGCTCTTTTACCTGATGGCCAGAGAAGCTGAAGGGAGGGACCAGGCTGGTAGATTTCTATTATGCATTCTTGGCTTCATCTGGGACCATGTACAGAAGAACCTTCTTGTCTTCTGCTACAGAACCTAGCAATGAGGTAACTAGCAGGTGCTCAATAAATAGTTAATTGCGTGTAACCTCTCACCTATAGGTATTTCGATTAATTAATTTGATTCTGAGTGGGCCCAGGTGTAGCCTGGAATGATCCTGAAGGAGGTAGCCTGGCCTGAAACAAAATCCAGAAGTGACTTGAGTGCCTCAGGGAGCACAATGCTTAGTGATTTGTAGGCTAATGAAGGTATCAGGGAAACTCAGTAAGACTGATATTTATAACTTTATAGGGGCTCTAGTTCTTCAATGTCATGTATTGTTTAAAAATTATTTTACTATATATTTTTAAAATTGGTTATTATTTGAATATATTGATTGATATATGTGTATATTCATTCACAAATAATTAATTGCATTTTTAATTTGCCTCCATTTTTTACAAACACGAGTATTTCCTTGAAATTCCCAAAACTGAAGTATTATATTTTGTATAGAAAAATAATACTTATAATCTGGTTTGGATTTTAAAAGTCCCATCCCACTCCCTTTTTTTCTTCATAATTTTAAAATACCCTCATAGAATCATAAAAAAACCAGTTGCTGTTGAGTTGGACTCAAGGTGACCAATGTGTGTCAGAGTAGAACTGTACTTTGTAGGGTTTTCAATAGTTGATATTTTTTTGGAAGTAGATTGCCAGGCCTTTCTTCTGAGGCACCTCTGGGTGGACTCGAATCTCCAACCTTTCAGTTAGCAGCTTGAGCACATTAACCGTTTGCACCAACTAGGGACTCCCATAGAATGGTAGAGTGACATAAATATGTGCTTGAGGCCAGACAGAGCTGGGTTTGATTTGTTGCTCTGCAGTGTGACCTTGGACTAGTTTCTTAAATGCACTGAGCTTCAAGTTCTTTGTTTGTCATATGGTGTCCTTAACAGTATTGGCCTTGTAGGGTTGTTAAAAAGACTCAGATGCTAAATGTAAAGCACATAGAAGATTTCCTAGTCATACTTAGTATATCAATTGTCTATGGGTGCATTTTAAAAATCCCAAAATTTAATAGCTTAAAATTATAATGATTAATTTAGTTCTCACAATGTTGTGGTTATTTTGTGGTTGTGAAAAGTTCTGTTGGTCTGGCTTGGGTTCACTCATGTGGCTGAGTTAGCTGCTGGCCCTGCTGGGGCTGGATGGTCTAAGACAGCCAGATACAGGTGTCTGGGACCTCAACTGGTATGACTGGACAGCTAGGGTGGCTGAGCCTCTCTTTCCACATGGCCTCTCATCCTTCAGTGTGCTAGTTTGGGCTTTGTTACGGGTCTTGGACGGCATTCTAAGAAAGCAAGAATGGAA